GTAGTTCCGAAGAATCTTGTGGGGGGGCGAGAAAAAGAAAAAAACGTACATGTAGCTTTCACGGCCATTGCTCAGGCCCCTTTTTGCAAACTTTGGCATATCCGTATCATTTCATTGGATTGCTCATCCTTTATCCTCAGTGAAGTTGACAGTAACAAAGGTTCTTTAATGAGTAATTGTGTTTGTTTTCAGGAGTGGAGGCGGTGCATAATGGTGCCAGCTTGACCAGCTTGCTGGATAGATCGTTTGAGGTGGACGGGGTGAGCGAAGGAACCCAGAAAGAGGGAAGCTGAGATTTCGACGATTCACTCTTGCAGAATTCGAAAAAAAAAAAAAAAAAAATAGAATGGTCAGTTAGCAATAACCGTGGAAACAAAAAAATAAATACATAACTCCCTCGGTATGTTTCCAAGAGCAGGGCTGGGAAATTTCTCACCCGCTCCCTCTCAATTTCCTTCCGAATCTTCTCCCTCTCCTCCTGCGCAATATTCCGCATAGTCTTTTCATCCAACTCAAATCCCTTCCTCCTCTTTCTCGCCGCCTCTCCATTGGGGTTCCCATCCTCCCCACCCCTGTCTCTATCAATATCCAGTCTCCGCTTCCTCTCCTCCAGACCCATGCTAACCAATTCGAATTCTCTTAATTCCCGCTCGCGTGCTTCTTCCGCCAACCGGCCCTCTCCTTCCTCTCTATCCCGCTCCGCGAGCTCCCGCTCCTTTTCCAACCGTTTGATCTCTTTGCGTTGGGCGAGGAGATCGTTCACGGCGCATTCACGACAGAATAAATCTCCGTTCGTGGCGCAGGCGACGACGGGGCTCCGGGCGGGGAGAAGACATAGTCGACATGATGAGAAGGGGAGGAATGATTCTCGGGAAAGACGGGTGCGCTGGGTTCCCCAGGTGGTGCGAAGGAGGGAGCGTTCGTAGGCGGTGAAGTGTGGGAGGGAGGTGTTGCGCTTGGAGTGCGCCATGGTTGGGGGATAAAGGGATTGTGATCGATCGAAAAAGCTAGGTGCTCGTAGTTAATAGCGCCCGAAAAATACATCATTACAGGCGGAGGGTTAACTATTTTTTGCGGAGCTCAAGGAATGACTAAGCTACAACTCACTCGACGTCCAACAAACTTAATCGCAAGACACTCGCATTTCTAGCGTACTTTAAAGATAAATATTTTAATCTCTTCTTATAAATAGTGTAGGTACCCTCACTTGTCTTCTTGCAATTTACATATACTATACGTGTACTGTACCAAGCTCTCTTCTTCAAGTTTAAACGTAAAGTTGATGAGCTGCGCAAGCATTTATTTGAACACCTTTGAATTTCTTCAGATTATAAAGCAGCTTGATTAATTATCGAGAATACCCCGGACAATAGTTACTGTATTTGCAATGCGCTTTTCAACTCATTTCTACATGGCTCCAAATTTCATCGCATTCGGTTACATGTCGCGTAGATTTCGAACTTCTAACCAATCTGAGCTGTGCCAACACCTTGCGGCCCGCCAGATTGATGATGCGTTGCTTGAAGGTCAGAGGATTCTTTATCAAAATCCATAAATACTGGGTCCTCGAAAATATTCGCCTCTCTTTTTTTGCTCTGGCTGTTTTGCTATATTGCTCGTGATGAGATACGATGGGTTTTCCTAGAAGAGATTGTGTAGACGATCTTCGTTCTATATAAAATGAATCGATTGAGGAATGTCAGTCACATGCGATATGATATCTTGCGGATCGGAGGGTCTCACTGAATAGCTCGGATACTAACGTAAGTATAAAATTGTTCAAAAATTTGTAGATTGGCGTCTGACATCCAACCTTCCAAGACTTCAAAGATGGAACCTCTGCGCCCACCAGGGCTATATCTGGCCATTCTCCTCCATGATGAATATGAATACTTTTGTTGAGGGTGTCCCTTGTGTTACATGCACAGACACCGTCGTTTCATTCAGCCTTGCTGAAGTCATAATGAATGTATTTTTTCTTCGAAATTCTGAATTGCTCTTCGATATCCCATGGTGCGGGTGTGAACATTTTGTTTTCGTTCATTCGTGCGCAACATGAAGATCCCCGAGGCGAAGCACGTCTAGTTACACAGCAACTCACAGGCACGGGAACCATGTCCCTCCCGTATGCAGTGTTTAACAAATCAGGTCCCAAAAGTATAGATACTGTGGTCATTTCAATGTGTCCCTGATAAACCAAGCATCACAGGGGAGCTGAGGCTTAGAAAATCGCTGGGCTTTTATTCCCCGAATACGGGCCCAGCGCGGTGTGCATGAGGGACTAGCAAATGAAAATTGCGAAGTGTCTGCGGGCGCGCGATCGAACTCTGACAAAAATAGATCCAACCCAGTCCAAGCTTTGACTGTGCTTGTTTCGATCGCCATTTCCCTATGCTTTGCGATCGCGGGAGCTTAGCGGTTTGTTTCGAAACACGAAGGATATCAGCTCTGATGATGTGCTCTTGTGTTGAATTAACTTCCTCTGAGCTGCGAAGGCCCTCGCATGGGCACCCCTCCATGCAATGAACACGAGTCTAAGGGAGCAATCCAAACTCGGAGGCACCCTATTGGGATACTTATGCGATAAAATAGTCTGTTTCATACGAGTAGGGATACCTTGAAGAAAGTGATCCCATGTCGTGCAGTGGCGATCATTCAAGCGATGAAGTCATACGACATTTTCGCCCTCTCTATCCAAAAGCAGCGGGAGAAACATTACATCCAACTTGAAGAAGGAACTTTGTTCTTTCTTCTCTCTATCTCTTGATTGTATATTGTTACTGTTAAGCACCGCAATGGACATCACGCCTTGACGCCAACCAATAATTTTTAATCCTGCAGCCCAGGGGGTTGTTGAATATTGCGAAGCAACCGGTAGGAAAATATCTATTACACCCGGGTCGCTCAACATCCTCGTATATGATTTGGTGGCTATGGCGAAACCATCCTCAGGTCCTGGTGGACACATTGAACTTTCCATGACCAGTGCTCATCTCGAGTTTCAGCTACATCCCGTCTCGTTTGATTTGAACCAATAATGTATGTTGGTGAGAGTGTGCCTGGTCTCAGGGAAACGCGCGACGCAGCCTGCTGAAAAAGTCAACGGCATCATACTGCGGACAAGGGAGATATTCGTATTTCAAATGTTGACGAGAATGTCAAGGACATTGCAGCTCGTATGACAAACTCTCGACCACTTCTGTGATATTTTTGGGTTCAGAAGAAAAGCATATAAACCTGCTGAAATCCCCCTTCTATCAGTTTTGTTTTCTCCATCATCAACAACAACATCAGCAGCAAAAGGCAAAGCAAAAGCAACCAAACGAACAAGCCCTCCAAATCTTCTACAATCCCCTTTGTTACAAACCTTTATTTTTCCAATCTTCCCCTAACCCAAAGCCCAAAACCCCCAGCCAAAATGCGCGTTTCCGCAATCTTCGCTATCATCTCTGCATTGAGCATGACTGCTCTGGCTCTTCCTGCACCTGTCCCTGAGGACCTCGACATTGCTGAGGTAAATGCCGACCTCGCGGCTCGGGATGCGCACGCGGAAGCTATCCCCGATGATTTCGCTGGTGACCTTGCTGATCTGGATGACGACGACGATGTTGATGGGTTCAATGGGAATCCTGCTGGTGCATTTCAAAAGAGAGGCTGGAGCTGTGGCTTCTTTGGTGGAAATGACGAGCCATGCCACCAGTGAGTTTACACCCCTTTCTTTTCCAGTGCTTTCGTTTAAAGCAAGATAGCGGGGCTAACCCATGGGCTTATCAGGCACTGCAAGAGCATCAGGGGCTACAGAGGTGGTTACTGCAGTTCGGGGGTATCTGCAAGTGCTACTGAAGTATGTAATGTACAGTATATGCACATGTTCAAAAAAAATTCCTGCATTTTCCTGCAATGAGGCAAAAGTAAATACTAATAAGTTTCTATAGCTGGTTTCGATACCCACTAGCGGGCTCATGATGAACGAAGCAGTGAGAAAATATGGCATGCTTCTAGAAGGAAAAAAATAAACATGATCTGCTGTTTCGGATAGATTTTTCTTCTTTTTCCCTTCTCTTCTTTCTCTCTCCCCACGATAATCTGCATTCCTATCATTTCATCATGTTCCGCATAACTTTGACATGCATATTGAAAAACAGCATTGCATCGCAATAATTTCCTTTTTGCTGTTTCTTGATTCTAGTTTCCTTTTCTTTTATGTACGCCTGTCTCTTCTACATCATTTGTTCTTGCCTCAATCTCTCGCTGAAAGCTGCCACTTGATCAGAGTGTACTTCTCAGTCGTTAACTGTTTCCTATGGCATTCTGTCCAGCTCAATTGGGGAGGGAGGGGTAGGTGGGGCGGACCAGACTCGAATTATTTCCCAAAAACTTTTTTTTTTTTCTTCTCGTGGCAAGCGTCCCCGGCTGTAGCTCGACAGACATTTATTCTTGTTTCAATGAAATTTTGCATCTTCCCCTGCCTGGTTCCTCCAACTACAGTAGCTCCTTTCCTAAACCAAATAGAGTAGTCTTCATCATCTGGCATCACAAACGACAGCGGTCCCAGGATAATTCAGCCGCCAGCTACAGCCGAAATATTTGGAATGGCCTGTGATATGTAAAATTAGACGCTGCACGGAATCACTCAAAGCGTGTTCGGAATGATGGCACTAAGCCGGGTTCCGAGTAGGGCTTAAGGTTGCCGATCGGCATGCCGATAGTTAGACGCGGGGTCAAAGGTTTCTTTATTTCATGGCTGTAATGATTGGATGTCTTATTTTAATGAAGAGACTTAACTTCAACGCTGGTCCACAATTGGCTTAGATAACTGTGCCCACTTTCTATGGTTGTATGCTAGCGATCGACCCAGCCAACTGTGCTCCTTATCTTGGCATCTTTTGATATGACACAGATTTTTCATCTGCCATTCTGATTGAGTATCTGTCAAAATCTTTTGGAAATGAACTGTGTTACTTATACAGCAGAATGTATGCAGAAAGCTGTCATTGATATTCAGAAAGTTCATTCAGCTTTAATTGAGCATAATGATTCTTGTTCAAAGAATATCCTCAATTGTTCCTAGTGATCAAGGTGATCAAGAGAGGGTTATATGGGTTGATTTTGATATTGCAATTGTTTATCCCAATGGCACATACATTGAAAAGAAGGGGTGTAGCTGGATTGAGTTTGAAACTGAAGTTGTTGAAAGCTTTGAACAGCTACTTGTTCATCTCTGCAGACACACTCCCACTTCCATGATACTTTTAGATCACCGGGACAGCGATTTGGTGAGGAATTTGATTCACTTCCAGCTTGGAAAAATGCAATGTCGGTTGGAAGTGTTGATGATAGTTGCTGCATCATCAATATCACCCGTAATAGGAGTAAGAAGCAGGTTTGCAAGATGAGGTGCAAGGGACTGGAAGCCAGCTCGCAGCGCACAATGCAATCGACTCCGGATGTAAGTGTTAAAGCTGTGGTTCCCCACTATGTTCCCCACTATGCTGCGGCTGGTTGGTCGCAGTGTATAGGTGGTGGGTTGAGTGGCCACACCACCACACCCACGGGTATACATATCATCAGCGCGACCATTTAACAAATAGTTATGTTGGCTTTTTGCTATGGATAACCTAGTGGCCATAGTGCTATCTTATCACAAAATGGAGAGCGAACATCGGCTCCGTGTTTATCAGCTGGGGTGGGGAGTTTGGCATTGGTTCACTCGCAATTTGTGTTTGATGAAGTAAGATCCCATAGGCGGTGTATGATATGAGTGTATGTGAATCATGACCACTGACCAACACTGTTGGTATCGCCCCAATTATAGTTTGGGTTTCTTGTATTGGGTGCCTTGTTGGTATTTGGGGTAGGAAGAGCAGGAGGTGCCACCATGAGGTAGTTTAAAAGAGTCTGGTTGTTGGCCATGGCTGCTGCTGAATTTTGAATGACTAAAGAAGGTACAGACATAAGTAGTGAGGAGAGCCGCGGAGCATCTTATAAACCTAACGCCGCACTGTAAGAGAGGTTGAGCCTGGTTGGTTGTTTGTTGTCTATCTTGTAGTAGTAGCTAATATATCCATTATATCCAAGGTTGGTCACGTGCGGTAGACTGTTACGTCCCCTCTACTACTTTTTTGCCCCAGTGGCCTAACAGTTAGGCTAGCCTTAGTAATGCAGAACTTAGTAACTAACTAACTAGTTAACTTAACGTAATTCCCAAGCGAGCGAGCAGCCCAAGCGAGCGAGCAGCAAAACTAGCATATCTCAACTAACCAGAATTTAAATCAAATTATCTACTCCCACCAACCACTAATTAAATTAAATTAAATTACATGAAGTTGAGGACATCTTATTCTTGTATGCCCAACAGTATTGCAATTGCTGCAGCGTTGTGGCGCTCGTATGCGGGGTCTAGGCTCCGGGGCCGCAGGTACGGAATGTTGAATAACAGGCTGTTCAGCAGGCTCAGCTGCAGGAATAATAAGATTCTGAGCTTCATTCCTAGTTAGACCCCCTGCACTTGGGATCCTGCGTGTAGACCTCTTGCGTTTTTGCTTCTCTTTCTCATTTGCATTGAAAATATCCTCATACTGCTTCTTCATAACCATGGCGCTGACCATCCCGTATTCGCAGGCCTTGGTTATTTGGTCAAAGCCTTCCACTAACCCATGAGGTTGATCCTGATCCATAAGATTTCTGACCTTATTCACCTGCTTCTGCAATTGCCGGGGGTTACTAGGTGTTTGTAGGATCCAGGATGACGTTGAATTGCTTGACCTGCTGGCTGGGGGAGTAGGGGTTCGGAGTTGAATATTCAGCTGCTGAACAACGCATTGAGGATCCAATGGAACTATTCCAGTGGCCCTGAACCCACTTTGAATGTTTGAAGCCTTGAAGGCTTCCCGACGTGCTGCAGGATAGGCATCTAGGAAATCTGCCTTCTTAATGGTGTTGAATCCTAGCCGCATTCGCTGTTCAACTAGGGTTCCGTACGCGCGCTTTAAAGGTGCAAAAACACCCACATCTAGTGGCTGCAAAAGGTGTGAAGAATGTGGTGGCATGCAGAGAGGAATAATCTTATTCTCACTGCAGATTTGGTCAAATTCCGGAGTAAGATGACTGCCGTGCCCGTCCAGAATAAGAGATATGGGTTCCAACCCTGCGTGGATTTGCAGCTGGAATAAACAGCCGTGTAAGCCATTTGATTCCTATCTCATCTGTGGTCCAGCCATTAGGACTAACATCCAATCTCCAGCGTCCGGCAGCCCGTCAAACCAGCCTTCCTGAATATTGTGACCTTTGAGGATAATATACGGCGGAGGGGCCCATCCTGACGCGTTGACTGACTCAATTGCAGTCACCCACTCACGATTCCCAGGCTGTATAAGAGTTGTTCGTCCGTAGTGCTCAGCACTAGTAATGACCTTGGTAGTTGCACAGAGCCCCATTGCAAACCCAGCTTCATCAAAGTTGTAAATATCTTCAAACACAATCCCATGCTCAGTCATTACCCTCTCTAGGGTCTTAAACCAATCCTCCACAATCCTGCGGTCTTCACACTTGGCCCGATCATGGTTATAGCGTCTTGAGAAGCGGCATTGGAGCTCTGGACTGCGTGCCACTAGATTTGACACCCAGTTCTTGCCAACGCGAGGAGGGTGGTTTGTATGGCTAGGCTTCCGTATGGCAAGAAGATGATTAGCCATATTCTCCACAAATGCAGGCCGGGGTGGTAGTCCTCGTAAAGCTAGGTCTAGGATCCATTGAACAAGCTTATCCTCTTCAGCAGGAGTTAATTTATGTGAATTTGCGCGTAAATTCACCCGTGAAGATCGACCACTGAGTCTATGACCAAGTGTAGAGCGTGGCACATTAAAGATGCGTGCAGCTTCAGAAATAGAGGATATTTCCTACTTTTTAATAGCATTTATCGCGAGTTCAAGTCTTCCCTCTATCTCTATAGAGTTCCTAGCATCTTTAGAGCGAATTGGTGGCATAATTGCGCGTTGAAGTGGATGAGTAGGTAAATTAGTAGGTGGAAGAATTTGGCTGCTCGCTCGCTTGGGCTGCTCGCTCGCTTGGGAATTACGTTAGTTAGTTAAGTTCTATAGAACTTGGTAAGTTTGATTATCAAATGCCCCACTGATTCTCAGTGCTATCTCTTGTGTATATTTGAGCATGGCTTTTCTTATAAATACTGTCTAATTGTCATGTAATTATCAGAACGAGAACAAGCAATTCAATTATTTTTATTGATATTCAGTAATTGGGACAATATTCTGACTTTGTTAGTTCCTACAGTTATGAGCCCGGGTAGCTACCTATCGCTATATTGATATCTATCCATACCGACCTCCTTATCGGCAAAGATATCTATATCTATCTTAATATCTATTTGATTATACCTATCTATTCGACCTCACCGACCTCCGTATCGGCGACGATTGCAGCAATATATCTATATCTATATCTATTCGATCTCATCGACCTACATATCGGCGAGAGACAGCAGCGAATTATATATCGGTTATATCTGTACGATCTTATATCGATTATATCCATTCGATTCTATATTGATTATTCGTTCGATTCTATATCGATTTCAAACCTATATACAACCGATCAAGATGTCAGCAGAAAATTCATCTTCAAAGACAACACTCTTTCTGAATTCTTCCAGAAGCTGGAATTTATGGTACAAGATGATACTAGGACTTGCCACAGAGCTTCAAGTATTGGATCTTGTTAGTGAGGAAAGCTCTAATAGAATGAGTGACATACCCAAACCTACTCCTCCAGAGTTCCCTACTGAGCATACTATGGAAGCAAAGATTAAATGGGAGATGGAGAATACCAAATATAACAATGACACCAACATCTATCGGAGCAAGCTCGAAGGTGTTAGCAAGATCAGGCAGGAGATCCTCAGAACAGTGGCAGTCAGTGAGTTAGAAATAGCAACTTCTGGAAATGATCACATTGATGTGAAGGATCTTCTAATTGCCCTTAAGAAGAGGTTATCTCCTAGAAAAGCGGATCGTCAGTATGAGGTACGGAAGAAATATCAGAACCTACAGAAGCTGCCTAAACAGAATCTAGATCAGTGATTAGATGCCTGGACTCTGAAACAGAGATCAAGAACTCTGATATAGATGGCAACTTCGATATATGGGAGGCCTTCTTCAATATCAACATGTCTATCGATAATCCGTACGCTGCTATCCGAAAGAGAGAAGTTGAGATAGGAGGTAAGGAGAACTTCTCCTTTGCAGATGTGGTCAATGACTTCCCGTTCCGAATATCGCAAGAAGAGATACAGTAAGCCAGGACTGCTAGTGTCCAATCTAGCTACCTTAAATGGCAGGCAAGCAGGACAATCAAAATCAAGAACCTGTGTTTGTGGTTCTAAGCATTCCTGGGTCAAATGTTATTATCTCAACCCAAGTCAGAGACCAGAAGGATGGAAGGAGAATGAGCAGCAATGTAAGAAGGTGGATGAGGCACTCAAGAATGAAGATATCAAGAAGAAGATAGATGCAGCGATAAGCAAGGTAGCTGCTTCTAATACTGAGATGATAGGACAGACGCTAGGAGGAATGGTTCTTCTAAAGAAATGTGGGGAACCTATCGATCATTCTATCGATCAACCTACTGATCAATCTTCGATCACTTCCGATACTGTACCTGTCGATCAAGCAACAAGATGTCTAAATGTGAACGTCGAGAGCTTTCCTTCCAACCAACGCCCCTATCTCCGAGATTCCTGGATATTCGATACTGGTGCTGAGCGACATATCTGCAATAATCGATCTAGATTCCTAACGTACGAACCGTCAGAAGAGCAAATTTATACAGGAGATTCGACAACAAGAGTTATGGGATATGGAACTGTTTGGACCTACATGACCAACAGTCTCGGCAAGCAGTTCAAAGTAATTCTTAAGAACGCTGCGTACGTTCCGTTGTCTCACACCAACCTGATCGCTTGGAAACCTTGCTATCATATAGAGGGGATCTATCTCGATGGCAAATCGTTCAGATGGCGGAGGATTAGCGATGATTCGATCTTTGCTCGCATAGAAGTATACGGCGGATTGCTGGTTACTGAATATCGCAGAACTAGTGAGAACACCTTAGTGCTCGCTAATATTGCCCCACTTAGCAATCCAGCAGAACCTGCGAAGATAACAGAACCTGTTAAGATATCAAATACTTCTTACACCCCGAAGTGCTCTACTGCTTCCTCCAAGATTTGGCATCAACGCCTAGGACATCCCTCGATGAGAGCAGTTGAACATCTGCCAACCGATGCCAAAGGGGTTCAGATATCAGATATCAAAGATATGGCAAAGAGCAATGATATCGAAGACAAAGAGCTCTGCGAACCTTGTCATCTTGCTAAAGCAAAGAATCAAATATCTCGCCGTCCCCATATACGATCTAAACTGCCTTTCGAACGACTCCATGCAGATATTGTACAAGGGCCTTCCTACTGCTACAACGGAGAACGATGGCTCATACATTTTGTATGTGATTATCTTCGTTTCCATATCGCAGTAACAGCCTTGAGAAAATCTGATATTAGGAAAGCCTTGATTAAGGTTTTAAGGTGGATTAAACGCCAGTTTGATTGTGAAACAAAGATTATACGAATCGACAATGAGAAAGGAATCAAAGAATCCGATACCTTTAAGGATTGGGTAATTGAACTGGGCCTAGAAATCGAATACTCTTCGGAATATATCCATGAGCAGAACGGTGCTGCTGAACGAGCAGGTGCTATCATAACTACTAGAGCAAGAACTCTTAGGATAGAATCCTTGTTACCCCAATCACTGTTCCCTGAGATAGCAATCGCTGCCGTTTACTTGCTGAATAGGACCCCTACCAAGATGTTAGGATGGAAATCGCCCCTCCGAGCACTAGAAGAATATCTTCATATCGAACAGCATTCTTGTGCTCACTTACGTGCCTACGGATGTCGTGCGTACGCAAAGATCCCCAATGAGATCCTCAATCGAAATCGATCACAGAAGCTTGATCCCAGAGCTCATATTGGATATCTTGTGGGATATGATTCTACAAACATCTTTAGGATTTGGATTCCTCACCTAGATAGGGTGATAAGAGCAAGGGATGTTATATTTGGTGGGAATAGAAGATATAACCCAGAAGAACCTCATATTGAAAAACAGCTGCGAGATTGGGTTACTCAGGAGGCTGAATTCTTGGATATCGAAGTTCAGAAACCAAGGGTTGGCACTTCTCAACAAGAGAATAATCTATACTCAGATATCGATATCTTCCGTCCTGATGAGATTCCACCGCGTACGGAGAACGTTGATAAAGATAGCGAAGATATCAACAAGGAACTGGAAGCGCAACTTATGGCAGATATCTTACCTACACCGGATTCTACACCTGAACCTGATTCTAGCAATTCTATCGAACTTGACCTTCCTATCGATACTCATCCGATATTATCTAGCAATCGAGCACCTAGAGCGAATGAGATCAGTTCTGATTTCAGCGAATCCAATATAATTGAGGGTAAAAGAACACGCAAGGCAACCCATCATATAGCAGTATCTCTTGCTAAAGATATTCCAAATCGAATGATCAACGCTGTCTTTGCGGAACCCCTATCTAGATCAGAACCTTTCAAAATTCATCGATCTCAGTTACCTGACCCACCTCAACATTGGAATGATGTCAACAAACACCCCTATCGCGATGAATGGATTAACGCTGCCAAACGGGAATGGGACTCTATAACCCAGCGAAATACCTATGAAGTTGTTAGCAGACCTTCGAAAGATACTCCAGTGATTCCACTATGTTGGGTGTTTACTTACAAGTTTGATGATGATGGTTATCTTGTTAAGTTCAAAGCTCGTATCTGCATCCGAGGTGATTTACAACCAGTATCTGAGCTAGATACCAAGGCTCACACCCTAGCTGCAAGAACCTTCCGTATCTTGCTTGCTATTATCAACGCCTTTGACCTCGATGCTGAGCAATTAGATGGTGTCAATGCCTTTATAAACAGCTCACTTGATGAGCTAGTTTATGTTGAACTACCAGATGGTTGGTGGAAGTTGAAGGGGGTATGGAATCTCAAGAAGAACAACTATGTTCTACGCCTACTACGCGCCCTGTATGGCCTAAGGAGATCACCCCTTCTGTGGCTTAAAGAACTATCTACTACTCTTAAGCGGTTAGGGTTCGTTCCAATCCCTGAGGATAAGTGCCTGTTCACCAACGGACGGATAATGATATTCTTCTACGTTGATGATACTGTTGTCGTATCTCACCACTCTACAGACTCTCGAGGAAAATATGCCGGAGCGACGGCGCGCCATTCGCAAAGGCAGACCTGGATTGGGATTGTTGGTTTTTTGCTTGTCGGACTTGGTTACGCTTTTCAGGGTAACAACGATTTTTTTATTTAAAAGAATACACCAATTTATCAAGCAAAGTACGCTGTATCTTCCCATCGAAGTTCAGTTGGTCGGCCGATCATCGCTTCAGATGGTGTCATTTTTATCGATGCCCATTGCGCCAGGGGAATCCACTCTATCCAGTTATCACGGAAGCAGCTGGTTCTGACATTCTATTACAACCTTGATCAGTATCAAGATCTTATTCAAAGAAGGAGGTGCAATCCTTCCAGTTAACAAGATATTGCGTTTGACCACGGTACTGACGTTTATCCAATACTTGAGTTGTCCGATAACGCTGGCGAAGATGAGGAAGCGGACGGTCCCGTTGAGGTGTTAGAAAGGAACGCAGCAGCGTATTGCAGGTCGAACGATCACCTACGCTAGCGTCACCCACCTCTAGTCTTCTGCGAAGTAAAGGAATTCATCCCGTGTTCCACGTTTCCCTTCTCGAACTTATGGCTTAAAGAACTATCTACTACTCTTAAGCGGTTAGGGTTCGTTCCAATCCCTGAGGATAAGTGCCTGTTCACCAACGGACGGATAATGATATTCTTCTACGTTGATGATACTGTTGTCGTATCTCACCCTGATGACAGAGAGGAAAAGGATCAGTTAATCAAAGATCTCAAGAATACATACGAATTCCGACAGATGGGAAACCTCGAATGGTTCCTTAATATGAGAATTACTAGGGACCGGAGCTCTAAGAAGTTATGGCTCTGTCAAGATGCTTATATCGATAAGATGGTTGATACTTATCATCTTGCTCATGCTCGCAAAGCATCAACACCTCTATCTAGTGTTCCACTAGCGCCTTATCAAGGAACTGCATCGCCAGAGGATTCCCACTACTATCAACGCCGAATCGGATCCTGTATCTACGCCGCAGTAATGACTAGGCCAGATATCGCATACGCAGTTGGCAAGCTCACAACCTATATGACCAATCCTTCTGAGCGCCATTCTGCAGAGATCGATCGCGTTATTGCCTATCTGCGAGATTCGAAGAATCTAGCAATCGAATATAGCGTATCTGATAGTGATGGCCTATCAATGAATGTGGTTGAAGCAGCTTGTGATGCCTCCTTCGCAGATAATTCAGATAGAAGATCAACAGAAGGTTACATCTTCAAACTTTTTGGAGGACCTGTTGATTGGAAGTCAAAGAGGCAGAGAATAATAACAACTTCCACCACTGAAGCTGAACTACTAGCTATATCACAGGCAGGCAGAGTCAATTTGGTGGAACGATTCTTTGACCATCTAGGTTTTGACCCATTGACACAAGATTTTGTAGGAGGATAACGTTCGTTGTTTATTACTAAACTAACTACGCGAGAGCAATACAATATGTTGGGGGGCACGTGATAGGGTAGCCGTAGTACCCCCTAACACCCCCCCGTGCTACGGCGCCGCCAATGCACTGCCGCCCGGGGGCCCCCTTTGCTCAATTCTTCCAAAAACACAATAACAATTAATTACAAGATTTGGACCCTGATTTCCTCTTTGGGAATAGGTGCCCATACAGCAATAACTATAAAAAACAGAATAATACAAGCAAAATTCCGTTATCTCCCGTACCACTGATACCATTCTTTTCCTTCCAACAAGGTTGTTCCATATGACTTATCATCAAACCAGGCCAAGTTGTATTTGAAAATTCACCCTCCACGGGCATATCCATGTTCCTTGTGGTAGGGACTGCCCCATCTACCACCCATCCTTTCCCATAGATCACTCTTCGCACAATCATATTGATAGATATAGGGTGCCCATCGCCCCCCCAATCCACATCACGGTCGCTATCAGTATCAAGATCATCATCGCCTGTGGGATCATCATCACTTGTAGGATCGTCATCGCTTGTAGGATTGTTATCGCTTGTAGGATTGTTATCACTTGTAGGATTGTCCTCCATTGATCCATCCAAACATTCCATCTTGGAATCCATATCAATATCCACACTGCCGTAGCCGCTATCACCACTGGTATCGCTGATATCATCACCAACATCATCGTTGGCATCGTTGGCATTGCTGGCAGTGTTGGAATTGCTGGCAGGCCGCCCAGCAAAGATATCTTCTATAGCTGTCCACAGAGCATAGGCAGATAGTTCCTTGGGTGTAACAAGATAAGATCTTGCTTGCGGAGTGATTGCAAACCACATGTACAGAATAGTTATACAGCCACATATTGCATTCTTTCCAAAACCGTTGCATATCAGCACTGGCATCCTCTTTGGGTCCAAGTTGTCTCTCATCTATGATATCAATTGTATGAGATTGCCTCGCTGCGAGGAGGATCTCTTCCCTCCACACTGAATAATTCACAAAACCAGTGAGGATAACTGGCTCCCTTATGAATCTCACTTGGTCACGGAATTCATTAAGAATCTTCACAATAGCAGACGTTCTGCCCTTTCTCTGCAGATAGTTTGCTAAATCCGCACTAATGTTCTCATCACTAGCAGAGGGTTCACCCCTACTTGCTTTCATCTGTTGAACTTCATGCTGGAGTCTCGCGATCTCCAATCTCATGCGAGTTTCCTCACTCACATCATCACGACTACTAGAGCCACCCGCGTTATCCGACATCTCGTTGTCGTTAATTGGGTCTTCGTATTTGATATTCGACTCGTTCGATTCTTCTTCGATTGTCTCGTCAGGTTCAAATGCCTCTGGTGCTTCTGTTGGTTGCAGGTGTTGGTAGACCTGCGTCCAGTCCTTCTTGTTGTGCCTCCGGTGTTTGAGGACTTCTTCTACGCGTCGTCACGTAGTCCTTCGTTAAATCAGGCGTTCCACCCGATCTCAGATTAACCATTAGGTTCAAATCACTTAACAAGCCGTCTAGGCACGCTTTTAACGATGCGTGGAGACGTAGTTAGCACGTTATTTCGCAGCTCTTTCGTAGCTTATAAGGGCCATAACCTGTAGGAGGATAACGTTCGTTGTTTATTACTAAACTAACTACGCGAGAGCAATACAATATGTTGGGGGGCACGTGATATTGTAGCCGTAGTACCCCCTAACAGATTTCAATCCAGTGTGATTAATCGACAAACAGTTGGCATCCTTACTAAGGAAGATCCATCTATCACAACCAAACTACGCCATGTCGATATCTACGGTAATTGGTTGAGAGAACGAATACAATCCGGTGATATCTCAGTACGATGGACAACCTACAAGCAACATGCCAGCGGATGGGTTGACCAAGCCATTATCACAACAGAAGCAAAAAGAATTCATCAAACAGCTAGGATTAGTTGATATAACTGATCTTATCAATCAAACAACAAAATAAGGTATAAAAAGTTGACAAGATGGACAGGAGGAATCA